GAGAGGAGGAAGGATCTCACGCAGGAGGTCAGTAGATAAGACCCTTACCCAGGAGAAACACGAGGGATGGAAACAGAAATGTATCACCCCCTCTGAACAGTACAAGCTATTTGGAAATGCTGTTTTAAACACGCAAGCTTCATGTTGCTAGATGCGTGCAACCTGTTGTAAAGCATCCCATGCAAGAAGCTATTTGCAGTTTGAATTTCACAAATGCCTACTAATTCCTAGCTCCCAGCGGCACGGTGAGATTCACCGGGAGAAATAGCAGCAATTGTTTAATCATGTCCGAGGTCGTTGCTCATCATCACGGCAAGATTCTGAGCCGCACTGAAGCCAAGAAGAAGCCTCCATCCTTCTCAGACAATGACTCTACTAACCAAACACCTCTTCCTCAGATGAGGTTTCTTCAGTAGAACCATGAGGTTCAGCTCTGATGATAACATCAAAGTCCCCGAGCCTCAAAAATGAATTGAGACAATTGCTAGAGAGGTTTCCACTGAAGAGCAGTATGTTAGCTTATGAATGTTCTGCGTTAGCCATCCTGGATTGCTGCTGTAGCCAATTTTAAGGATGCTTAAAGAAGGAAGTGCAGCATTTGTTAAAAAGCCCCCATCCTACGGGAGCTGTAGCAGACACTCGTTGCACGCCATGCCACCTACACTACAAGCAGCATTAGCTAAACTTTCCTGCTACGAGGCACTCTGCTATGGCTCAGCGGCTCTCGGCAAACCTGGGCTTTCGTTGCCAGAACTCCTAAATTCACTGTAACGATGTTAAAAGCTATTCATGACTTCTGTACTGATGCTGCCTCAGCCAAGCGAGCACCCTGGGCAGCATCGTACCAGCAACCCAGCGGCAAAGCCCTGCCAGGGATAAGGCACTGGGAGAATCTGTCCTCACAATGGGATTTATAAAAAGCAAGCTCACCTGATAGAGATAAAAAGTTAAAAAAACAAAACAAAACAAAACAAAACAGCTGAGGAAGGGTGAAAAAAGTCCTTTTCTCTTCAAAGTTTAAGGAAACACATTCGGGCAGCAGGAAACACCACCCCACCACTCCCCCCCCCAATTGAATGAGCCACCCCTGGAGCTAGGTGCTTTCTCGCTGTGCTCGTAGCCAGCAGCGCTGGTAAAGACCCAGGCAGTAAAGCAGAGCTCAAACCACCCAGCAGCTCCACCCATCACTGAAGTAATGCTCACACCCAGAAAACCATCAGTAACTACTAAGCCTATAGGACAGGGTGAACATTTTCTTGCAAAAAGAAAAAAAAAGGCAAATTTATCAAAATTATTGTGGGATTTTTTTTTGTTGTTCTGAAAGTATTTGCAGAGCCTATTTAAGTTTATCAAGTAGGTTTTTGCCTAGAAAACTTTGTCGGACCAGGTTCAAAAGACTGTCTAAGAGCAAGTGAGTTTAAAACCAGGAGGATGGGAACCGGTTGTACGGATCTTGGTTCCTTCAGCCTGAGCTCCAAGCAGAGTTCGGTACCTCAGCGTCCCCAAGCTGATGTGTTTTCGGTGCGTTTGGGCAGGCCCAGGAGCAGACATTTTTAGGCAGCTCCGAGAGCTTACCTTGTGGACACTTAAGTAAGTCGTGTGGTCACAGGTGGCTATACAATAGCTAAATTTTGGAGTTTTAGAGCCAAAAGAATGTGCACATTTAAATCCTTGGAGGCACACAGGAAAGGAAACACTGTCTGGTAGAAACATGAAAGTTAAAAGGAGGTAAGGACTCATTAGACAAGAGAAATGTTAATGGTTGGAAACTACTAGTGTCAAACAGAGCTTTAAGCTAAGTAAAATTACCAGCTGGGGGTATCACTGGTCCTGCAGTCATTTACCAGCTCTAAAGATCTGAGTTTCATTTCCAGGTGGTGGCAACCACAACAGCATCTACTCAGCAACTTCAGGACTTTAAAACCAGTAACTCGCATTCTTTTGAAGAATGAGGACACGTGAAGAGTGACCTCAACTCAGACCAAGCTCCCGAGGGAGGGCGCAGCCCCCCAGGACGCGCCGAGCTGGGCTCCTTGCCTGCGGGAGGTGGGTGCTGCTGGAGGGTCCGATTCACCAGGAGCCATGGCAGGAGGCCACCAGCCTGGGCCACATCAGAGGAGATGAGGGAGAGGTTAATTGGATCTTCCCTGAAACCCTGCAGCCTCGGGAGCCCAAACCCACCCCTGTACCGGAGGAACAGGCAGAGTGACAGCAGCGGGACACTCCCTGCCACCGGGGACAGAAGCTCCAGCTGCTGTCCCAACCTGGCGTCCAGGGAGCTTTGCTGCTCACCAGGCACTCGGATCCAGGAGGGCGTGGGGAGACCCAGTGGTGGACTGGGTTGGCAAGCTAAGGCAGCAGGGTGATCCAGGCAGGAGACCTTGAAAACAACAAAGCGGGCCTCTCCAGGTGCCCCTCTGAAGTGCCCACAGCCTACAAATACAGCACAGGGAACATGCAAGAGGAGTTAAGAGGTCTGTGCGCAGCTGCATGGGTTGATCGCGTTGGGATCACGAAGATGTGGTGGGACAGCTCACACTGCTGCCATGGATCTCCAAGGTTGGGCTGTGGAGACGGGGGAGTTGTCCTGGATGTGAGGGAGCCGCAGGACAGCACGGAGCCCTGGCTGGGGGTGGACAACGAGCCAGCTGAGAGCACGCGGGTTCGGGTCAGAGGGGCGAGCTACGTGGGTGACATTGCTGTAGGCGTCTGCTACAAACTGCGTGATCAGGAAGAAAGACAACTGGAAGAAGCTTCATGTTTGCAGGCCCTGGTCCTCATGGAGAACTTAAGCCACCCTGATACCTGTTGGAGGGACAACACTGAAAGGCACAAGCAGTCGAGGAGGTCTCTGGAGTGCTGTTAACCTCCCGACACAGCTATGGAAGAGCCAGCGAGGGGGGACTGGAGCATCCGTCACACGAGGAGAAGCCGAGAGAGCTGGGGCTGTTCAGCCTTGGGAAGAGAAGGCTCAGGGGGATCTCATCAGTACAGGCTGTGCAGTCTCCATCCTTGGAGATATTCAAAACCTGACAACACGGCCCTGGGCAACCTGCTCTAGTTGCCCCCGCTTTGAGCAGCTGCATTGGACTACATGATGGAGTCACCATCCCTGGAAGCATTCAAAAAATGGGTAGACGTGGCACTTTGGGACATGGTTTAGTCTAGTCTACCCTTAACTTGGTCAGTGGTAGACTTGGTAGTGTTAGGTTAATGGTTGGAGTGGATGATCTTAAAGGTCTTTTCCAACCTAAACGATTCTATGATCTCCAGAGGTCCTTGCCAACCTCTGCAATTCTGTGGATTTTAAAAGAAAGTGAATTTTAAAAGACACAGAAATGGCCATGTCCTTTTTCATGCCCTCACAGTTGAACTTACCTCTACCAGTGCAGTATCAAACAACAAACATACCCGAGAGTGTTGTGAGATGAAGTAATAATAAACAACACACTAGTGTAACACAAAACATTTGTGAAGATTTTAATTGGGACATTTACTGGAAAACTCAGATGAGGACAACAGGGAGCATTAACTCCTTAGTAATTTATTCCGTAGTTTGCAAAGACAAAGGTTTCACGAAAGATAAGGAAAACTTTAGGAAAACCACATAAAAGTCATGACCAGGATCCATAACACAACTAACCTAACACAAATCAGGAGTTGACGTGAAGCATGAATAGTCTTTACAGTTAACCTGCGCTTGGATGGACACTCTGAAGATAAGACTTTTAAATTGAATTGATTTTGGCACCACTGAAAAAGGATGGCTTTTTTCTCCTCCCTCAAGCAGATCTACTGTAATGTCAAATAAATATGTAAGATGTTAACAGCCTAGGATTTTTCCACAGGGCTCCCCAAACTGTGTTTAACTTTGCCAGACTAGCAGGCAGACACTGAAGAGTGTCTTCTTCCCCTTTTACTTCCACACTTTGAAGAGACTACCTTTTACTTTTCTTACCAGAAGAAATAAAAGGAATACTTAGAAGATACTAAGACAACAGAATAGGATGTACACGTAATCCAAGCCTTCAGATCTCCTGAAGAGAGCTATTCATGGTACAGCTTTCCTACTGCCCAAATGGGATGCAAATCTCAAAATTCTACACCCACCTGGAACGTCCTGCTCCTGCACAGCTGTACTTTAGGGACAGTTACCTTCTACTACCATGTTGAAAGACAGGAATTCATTTTTGTTGACTTGCTGTAATAAAGTTTTATTAGAAGGTTAGGGTGTCCTCAATATGCACCCATCCTTATAAATGATATTTGGACAGGGGTATTCAGCTCTTCCTAATACCACTCATTTTGACACATACCAAGATCCAATTATTATTGTGTCTATATTAAGTTAGCTACATAATAAGGAAATGCATAAGAATTTGCATTTTTCTGAAGCACAACAATGCATTCTCTTCTCCAGGAGACAAACCAGCCTCTGCTCTCAGCAGTTAACAAAAAATTAGTCACTTGCATGAAAAAATTTAACAATCAAGACTGTTTTTAAGCCCTAGATTTGTAATTCTGAATTATGTAAACATTTGAAAACACTACTTAATACAGCTGAAGAATCCACAGCATTTCTTATAAAACTATGTAAAATTAAAAATAAATATCTGTTGCTTAGAGTTCATTCAAAATGCTAAACTTAAATATCACTCATTCCTCATACAGAGTTCAAACCTCAAACATACATTTACTGTAAAACAACGTACATACTTTACCTCGGAACAGGTATCTTCAAGTAAGGAAAATGCATAAAAGATAGGTTTATGGTTTCAGACATGATTTTTATATTAAAATTCTTGTATGTGTAACAGCTATTACAGAACAACTTTAAGACATCCCTTGATACGTATTAACATAAATATCACCATCCAGTCCAGTAAAACTGTACCAAACTGGCTTTAGTTTTAAAACTGTTCAGTGCTAACAGTTAAGAGCTGGGACTTGATGGTCAACTGACCTTTAGAACATACAGATCAACAAAAACTGTTTATTACTGTTTTTATTATTTTCAGGTAGCAAATTCCCCAAAGTCCTTCAATAAACAAACCCATGTGTTATGTTACTGGTTCTATCTGGTCAATCTCTTCCTTCTTTGGACCCTCCTCTCGGTTTTTACCCTGCTGCATGGTGTACACCGATGGGCCCATCCTTAGGATCTTGCCACTGCCCAAGCACTCGTCACCCTTGTAGAACACGGCAAACTAGGAGATAAACACAGGGGGAGTCTTTTCAGCAGCTGCAAATGGCATGGTGAGTAACTGCAGGCTGTGCAAGACCTGCTGGACAGTGAGTGTATTCATTTATATATGTTCTGAATAAATCTTAAAAAAAAAAAAAAAAAAAACCCAAACCAAACCCCCAAAAAACAAACAAAAAAAACCAACCCACAAAGGATTTGTTGGCTCACATGTATGAACATGTTGGTGGAAATTCCATCATGAACTTCTAAAAGATTATCTCAAAACTCTTCAGTTACTGAGGTGGAATGGCTTGTGCTGGAAAGCTTCCTTTCCCGAAGTGGACAACATCCACAACAGCATCTGCATCTTCACTGGACCTTGCCCAGACAACTGTGCCCAGGCTACAGCGGCACTTCTCAAAATAGGAAGGGGACCAAGGACTACTGGAGCAGACCATCTGGAAGGAAGCGGCTGGGGCTCCCCAACATGCTCAGCAGTTCTTGCAGGAGAGGAGCAGCACAGACCTCCTGGCCTTGGCTCACTACCGTGCAGTAAAGAGCCCGGTTACAGGCTCAGCAGCTCCTGGCAGTCAGGGGCTTCTCGTGCCTATCATCAGCTCTGGCTGGAGTCTTCTCAGCTCAGCTCACTTGTCTTAAGTGTATCCCTCTCTCCATTACAAATAGTTTTGTTTCCCTCCTGATGCGTCCCACGGGCCCCCAAGTGTTGGGGAGGGAGAGGGAGGGCAAAAAGTATGCTGGGAGAGGGCATGCAGAAAATGTTTGAGAACCACTGGTTCACAATGTGATGAATATCTTTATATTAGCAGCGTTAAAAGGCATCACTACACGGTACCTCTTCTCAGCACTGTTCCAGGACAATGAAATTCACTGGACGCAGATCTTCACTAAACAAAGTTGAACACTAAAACCATATTAAGCAGCCAATTACCAAACTAATGTCTTTTAAATCTATTTCTTGAAGACAACAACAGATTCCATTTCTGCATATACAACTGATTACCAGAGATGTTTTAATGTATTTCTAAAACTTGTAAACCAGTTTCTCAGACTATACGGATAACAACAGACCATTTAAAACTAGAAACAATCTCCTTCAAAATAGTTGATGAATAGTCAAAATAGAGCTAACTGCTCTCACATGCAAATAAGTTAACTGTTTTGCTCCAGCTAATATAAACACTACGCTGTTTTATTAGCCAGACAAGCCAAAATGCAAAAAAGGAAAGAAAATCACTTCTAATAACTTACCTGCCCAGGTGTGATAGCTCTTGCTGGCTTCACTAGTGTCACCCACACACTCCCATCTTGGTTTAGAGTCAGCACACAAGGCACTAGAGCAGAAAATGGCCAAACACCTGCCAGTTAATCCTTATGTTCACATTAAAAAACAAAAACCTTCATCACTAGGTTAAACAGTCATAAGTCAAGATACCACTACACAGAATTGTTTTATGAAGACAGTACAGAAACAGAAAGGCAAGCCAAAACATTTCAACTATTTCTGCAAAACTACACTGAACACACCACCACAGTTTCACAAACTGAGTAAAACAAAAACCAAAACAAGGTCTGATTACCCAGTGCCATCTGGTGCCGAAACCTGAAATGACATTCCATCATTTTGTCTCTAACAAGCTCTGCAGGAGGTTCCTCTGCTATCCAATGCACTCGGTTTGTCCGCAATAGGTCTCTGTACAGAGCAGGGTGATCTGTTGATGGTGCCTTAAAATACAACGTTTATTTAATGCTGATGTTTTTGCCAAAGAGCCTAGTAACTTGTAAAGTAAAGCATGAAATATAGAAGTAGCATCAAGCCATATCAAAATTAAGGCAAAATGAGTAAGAAACCAAGCATTTATTAGCACTTAATCAGCTTCCAAGTGGAAGCCTTTAGTGGAAAAAATAGGCTAAAGCAAGCCTGAATTGTTTGTCACTCTTCATGTCAGTCATGTCACTTGTATTCTTTTTCCTCCAATCATATTTCTGCCTTCTTCAGGCTGAGTTCAGGTATCTACTGTCCTTCTTATCCTACCTCAACAGGATGCTCCCTCCCTCTTCTCCAATTTCTCAGCTCAACACCTCCCTAACAAAGGCATTGCATACACACAACCTTACTGCAAGGCATAAAAAAAAATTCCTAGTGGTCCTGCCTGTTTCCTCTCAACTCTCATTTTGGTTAAGATTTTTTCCCCCCAGGCACATCAAGAAGTAGCAGAACACCTCATTATAATCACATCAGTATCAAATAAGAATAACAACTGCATGAACAGCAAGAAACATTTAACAATGCTAGCAAGCTGCAGAACTCCCAGTCATCTCATATGATTAGTCATTAACACACCAATTATTTGCAGTATTGTATACATTCTGCCTCAGTTTTCAAAATGCTAAAATTGTAATACTGGCTACTACTTCTTTTACTAGAAAAAGAAAGTAGCAATACATAGTAAACCAAGATAATACGCATTTTATATACTGTGTCATAATAACTACAATAAAACCCTCATGTTTTAGAGTAGAAAATGAGAGTTCAGTAGATTGGCTGATCCTTTTCAGTACTCACCCTTTGTCTGGAAAAGTTCTATGCCAAAATCTAAAACAATTTTCTACTCAAGAAAAGCCAGTTTGGACAGATTTTTCAAATCTGCTGATGCTACACTAGTTGGTTCTTGTTTCCCCCAAGAGGAAACCCAAGAATTCTGCCCAAGTTAGAATCACATTCCATACAGCAGGAGTCACAGAATGCTTGCATTAGTCATTTGCAATACCAGTGTTAATTAACTCACCACAAAGACATCTCCAGTGCTGACATCTTTGTCTACAACGAACCAAGCATCCTTCAGGCCTGCTAGTCTAGCCCTCTGGCCTATTGTGTAGAGGAACCAACCTACAGAAATATGAAAATTAATGCTGCTAGCAACTTTTCATCTTTTACTTTCAGAAAAATATGTTAAAATCATTTCCCCAAAACCTTACCACTAAACAAAGAATAATGAACCAAGCTGTCTTAGAGAAGCGTGCCAATTACAAACTAAACTAACATCTACTTGAAAGTTTCCATCTGTACCTGAAGCACATGATTTCAAATCAATCCGTTTCAATTGTGGTATTCTTAGGGTTTATAAAAGACAAACATTTCTTTATTTCAGCTTCAATTTGTGGTTTTGCTACCGCTCAGTCTTACCAGTTTCCCTTATTTTTATGTACTAGTAGAACACCTTACTTCCATAAATTACTTGGGAGAGGAACTCAGTTCTGGCAGCTGGAACTGAGGAGAGCAAAGGAAGGACGCACAGAAGGAAAGGAAAAGGTAAGCTGCCCATGTTTGGTGATGTCCTACTGGGCATCACTGAGGTGCGTGGTGTATTTTTTCTGCAAAGTTTAGGTACTAAAGAATCTGGAACTGAAGCACAGTCATTTTGAAAGAATTAAGTGAACAATGGTGTCTCGGTACTAAATTAACAGTCACTTAGTATCAACAGAATAACCCTAATAACTATCATTTACTTTCTTGCAACATGGAATAAATAATCAAGAAACAGTTGTAGTTCAAGCCTCTACTATTGTATGAAGCAAGTTTTCCATGATTATTAGAGGTATCAAACTGGGAAAAACCTGTAGACTGGTTTGGAATTTCCCAAAATTTGTCCCTCCAAATATAAGCAGTATTGTTCCATTTATCTAAAAGCAGTTATTAAGGCAGGTTAGCCAATTACCTTTGTGTGTTCCCATCACCTTCTTATCTTCAATGGAAACAAAGTTACCTGGTTGAGGTTCTAAATACTACCAAATAGGAAGAGATTGTTTAAGTCACAAGATGGCCCAAAAAACTTTCACAGTATATTTCAGATTCTGTCACTACATTCTCTTGAAGTTGGAAAATAACTTTTCAAGAAGCAAACTCTGCCCAAGCAGCTTACTGCCTCTTCCCTTACGCTCCTTTGCAGGGAAAAGTAGGAAGGGCGGTCCCTATCAGCAGTAATTCTGGGCTTCACTCCCCCGATCCTTACTTACGCCACGGGACAGCAGGATTCAGCCATTTCCTCCCCCCACATCCCAACCAGTTATTAGAGCCTGGCAGGCACAGGAGTGCAAGTTCACACACTCCTTTTGCTACAGAAAGTGACTGACTGCTGGTGGAGGGGCAAGATACTTCCTACAGGCAGTTGGCATTAGCTTCTGGGTAGGCTTGGGACTGCAAAGGGAGATGGGACATTGCTACTTAGTGTGGGCCACAAGCTGTTGGAGATTTTTCTGTAGACAGTGTTATAAATTACTACTGAAAACCAGAACAAAGCATAAAGATTGTCATGGATTTAATGTTGCTCACCTCAAGAAGGAAATTTTCAAAGTTTCTTTCACCAATGAAACAGACTCCCATACTCTGAAAAGAAAACGTGGTATTGAATCCATAAAAGCAGAGAAAAATACTTGAAATAATGTCTATTAATAATCTGTCCAAGATGGATTTTTTTCCCTCCCTATGTATCCCGAACTATGCTAGGCATCTCATAAAACAAACAAAACCACAACATCTGCTCCAACATAGGTAAACTAATTCTATACAGTATCAGTGAGAACCGTAAGCACAGAAGAGAAACAATAGGAAGTGGAACACATGTTCCATAAATAAATACATTAACCTTGGTGACTATATTGTATATATATTAAAAACAGAAATATCTTTCAGATTAAAGTACAAAAGTAACACAACTATACAGTAATGATAAATCTCTTAAAAGACGACTTTCAAAAACAAATAGGCTTTCCTTTTCCTTTCAGTTACTGCCTACATTCTTCAAATACCCATTTACAGTGGACAAATATAAACATTAAGAGCGATCAAGACAGAATCAGCAATACAACTGCTGCCTCCATTACCTTTTTTTAAGATCAACTCATGAAATGTTATTCTCAAAGAAAGAGATTTTTTTTTTTTTAAAAGAGTAACTGTGGAAAAACAGTATGATCCAATTTCTATAAAGACATACTGAAAAACAATTATAGTGAGGAAGCCTTTAAACGCTATGGAAAATAAAGACCAAAGGCTTCTCACCTGCTGTGATAGAGAATGCTTTCCTTAAGGCTCACAGCATCCTAACCCATTCACCTTCACCTTGGTTCTTCTGAGATACAATGGTAGACAAATTATCTGCAAGCTAAAATACACAACTAACCACAAGCTCATGAAAGTACTTTTAAGCAAGTAGACAACTATAAAACTGCTTCCCAACCTATTCTATTATGGTGCTCAGAAACAGAGGAGTTGTCACAGATTAAAGTTCAAATAGTTTGTGAAAGTCTATTTTAGAGAGAAATACAAATCAGAAGAGTTTAAGTGTTACCATGCCTCTTTTTTCTTTAGCACATGATGAAGGCCATGTTCCGCTGCTATCTTCTTTACAAAACTTTTTGTTAAATCTCCTAAGGGGAAAATGGTTTTCCTCAAAGCATCCTGTGAGATCTGACTTAGAAAGAAGGTCTGGTCCTTAAAGAGGTCAGCCCCTTGAAGGAGTTTCACAGCTGCAAAGTGCAGAACACATAAAGCATCTCAACGTAACCCCCTTTAGTAGTTCAACTTCCTTGTATTTTGTTTGACTAGCAACATTTTAGTTTCATTATTTCCAAATACATGTTAAAGACAGTATTTTTTTTAGGTTTTTCAAAATCTAATTGAAAATGTTTGGGTATTTTCTCACCACCAAAAAGATCTAGAAAGATTCCAATTTTGTACAAAGCAGAATCTTACAAAGTCTTGCATTGCCTCATCTATTGCAATACTGCATGTATCATTGGCAACAACATCAACAATATTAAAACCAAAACCAACTTGCATATGAAAGAAAGAATGAAGATTCAAATATCTTAGACTATACTGTTCTTCAAAAAGACAATCAGTTTTGCCCTGAAATCCCACTGCTATAAATCAATTATTTGAACGATCAGCAGAATTACTCCCAATGCTCAGAGAGGAGAGTTTGACTTTTTTCTTTAAAATAGATGAAGTCTCCTGATCGTCCAGATGAAATAAAATTGGTATAGTTTTTCAGTCATGTTCTGTCCACTCTCTTTAAGAGCTAAGAACTCTGTCGTTGTACAAACTACTTACATGTTTCTTGACTCAAACGAACACTAACTACAAGCCAACAGTTCAGTCACAACTAATAATACAAAATCTCAGCAACAGCGCAGGAAGCCTGTTTAGAGCATCACAAAATACTACAACTGTGAATCACAATTTGCCACAAGTATAGACAGTTGGTCCCATCGGGGCCATTTTAACTTTCCAGAAATAAAATTAAAACAAAGAAACAAATAAACCCCTTTAAGTCCAGAACAAACAAATGAAAGCGTGGAAGCTGTAACACAGAAACATCACCGTAGCAGCTTTGCACAGTGGTAGTTTGCAAGTTTCTTTCCCTTTGGGTATAGCATGCTTCTCATTATACATCAGAGCTTCATCTTGGTTACTTTACTGCATTATGGCCCACTGCAGAGCTATTTGGAAAATCTCTACATCGCCATCCAAGCTGTGACAGTGCCATGCAGAGACATACCCAAAACAGTATTCATCATGCTGGCTGTGGTACTGATAACAAGAGAACCACCGCGGTGCTGAGATCAACCTCTGATGATGTACAGCCACAGGCAGACTATTAACGTGAAGGGCAAAGCCTGCACTGCTGCTACTAGTACCTTTGCTGAGAATCGTAGCCTTAAAAATGTCTGCACATGCTGCACTTGCACTTTTTAATTGCAGTGTAGGCAGAATCCTGATCTACTTGAGAAAACCAGGCTTCTATAGCAGAACAGAGAAATAAGGCAGAACAGTTGAATTACCGAATGAGAACCTGATTTTTTCCAGTAAAATAATATACAGCCCAATTACTGTATAAAGTATGTTATTAATTTTAATGTTTCAAAGCCTTAATTCTAAAATTCCACTTAAACATATCCCCATGATGAGTTCTATCTGCACTATATACTGAATAGCCAAAGAATATGTTCCCTAAAATAAAAGAAACATCAAAAAAGAAAATTTTATTTAAGTCATGGAAATACTCGATAAAGATTTCTTGAAATACTTCTCCAGGGTACAGAAGATAGCCCTGTCTCCTTAATCCATGTTACAGCTCCTTCAGAATGTTGATTACTACTGAAATGCTTATTCTTACCTCTGCACCTGGATTAGAACTCTTAAAATAGAAAATGTAATACTTGACCAGTCAGGGTAATTTTCAGTAACGTAAATCCCCTGTTTTGCACAATCAACCTTCTACAAAGGCTGGGGTTTAAATGGTAATCATTGCGTGTAAGGTAATAAACTTCCCTGATTCTGTGATACCAAATATAGTTTAAATTTCTCTTTCATAGCTAGGATGAAATATGAGATGAAGAAACCACTTACTATTTCTAACTTCAAAACGGTTTCTGAAGAGCCTTTGTGGTCTTTTAATATGTTTCTGTTGAAACACTTCTTCGTCCTCTAGTGAGGTCCTAGCATAATGCCCAGTAGCAATTGCGTCTGCTCCTATCAAGAAAAAAAAAAAAAAAACAAAACCACAAAGGCACATACTTGAAATTCAGGAATTTAAAACAGGATTATAAACATCCAGTAAGAACAGCAGAAAGCAGCAAAGGAAGAAAACCTACAGAGAAATCTTATACTGACAGTAATCACAGTCCTGCTATTTAAATAACGTAAACTATTAATCAGCATGCCAACACTTGTGCTTTTGTACTTTAAGGACCACCTAAGAATGTTAAACTTAATGGTGAGGTCAATGTATGTCCCTGAATTAAATCTGTGCCTACAAATGAGCAACCTAATCTAGTGGAAGATGTCCCTGCCCATGGCAGGGGGGTTGGACTAGATGACCTTTAAAAGTCCTTTCCAACCTGAACCATTCTGTGATTCTATATATAAAAGCAAACTTAAAACCAAATACTTTGCAAATATTGAAATACGGCCACAGAGATATGTGAATTAGGCATGCATAGGAACTCATGTTCCCCCCCCCCCTTTTCAAGAGTTTGTATCCTTTAAGCATTTCCACAGCACACACTCTGTACTGACACACCTGAAAATGCCTTACCAAGGTTATCCATAGCGTAATGAAGAAAGTAGTTGAATTTGATGTGCTTGTTACACACAATATCAGGATTGGGAGTCCTTCCCAATTCATACTCTTTTAAGAGGTCACTGTAAAATAAAAATTCAAATGTATATCAATATTATTAACACTGCAAAATACTATCCAAGACTGAACGATCTGTTTAAACATGAGAACTTGAGACCCAGTCATACCAGGCATTTTATGTAAGAAATAAAATACCCGTTAGATCTTAACTTGTAAAAAACAATGCTTGGAAGATTTTCTCCAAAGTGCACTGATGATGTGGTCAAATGATCACTCACAATCTTGTAACCATGTTTCATTAAATTAATACTCCCTCGGGGGAGACACAGCTGCCCACTGTGCACATCCTACTCATCTCTTACAAAATACTTACTTTCAGAATTAAACAACCCAGTTTATTTTTTCAAAGTGACAGTGCAGTGGAGTACACACTAGGAGTTACTGTGTCTCAGCTGAATGGACAACAACTTGATCTGCAATAATGTCACCATAAGCAGTCATGGACCTTAATTTTATAGAGATTTTTTCCTGTCTTCTTCTTTTCCTTCAAGAAATTCAAGCAGTTTCTCAAAGTCATGTTGCAGCTTTACACTATCATGTAATTAAAGTGCTTAGCATTATTTGCTTGAAAACATTGGAATAATAACTAATGAGATAAAACCAGCATACAGCAATGCACTGAGATATCAAAAGGCCTGATCACTGCATTGTTTTGCTTGTTCTCAGTAGACAATGAAGTCCAAAAGGAACTGAGGGCACAGACTGGATTTAAAAGAACACCAGCAACCTGAAACAGAATCAACTGTGTCTTCCTTACCGTGTTATACATTACATTCATAAACAGAAAATAAAGCAGCATATCTTTTTTTTTGTCTTAACTCCTTTTTAACAGTTCTGAATTCAACAATTCATACTAACAATTAAATCACCTGAGTCTACCCAGAGCCGCCTCCCTCTTGCTGGCTCAGCACCGTACTCTTATGATAACACAATACTTCTTTGTAAATACTGCCAGAGTACGCTGGAAACTTTATGAAAGACTCAGCATAAAGCCAGGCCCACATCAGTTCAGAACTTCAAGTACAGAACCGGAGAAAAGGCAATGAAGGATGCCTACTGAATCTCTCTCTGACACAAAGAACTGAAACAGACTTTGCACAAACCATGGGAAAGACAAGACCTGGAATAGTTCTCTTGATAAAAGGTGTTTTTTGATGACTAACCCTTTAAAGAGAGATCCAGAGGAGGAGTAAACTCAAGATCAGTGATGACAGCAAAGAAAAAAGGATTCTGAAACAAACCGAGACACTTGCAACAGATTGTTTGGGAACACCGTACTAATACATGATGAGAACCAAAGGAAAAGCTGATCTGCTATGATCTTTGATTCACTGTCATTTACAGCCACCCCACACCCCTCAAGAGTTTTGATAACGTTTATTCATTCTCTCACACCAGGAGGGAAAAATGGAGTGAACTTTCCCAGGACAGGGCTGTTTTCTTCACTGACTATAGAAAAGTTTAGTGCTCAACTTGACGTAATGCAGCATGAAATAGAAGTCGCATGACTAGGTTATTCCTCAATTTCTTCTAAGACAAGGTAACAACAGCACTACTTAAAGGGGGACGATGAAGATCAGGGAACAACTTTTATGTATGTGTTGAGTGCATAAAAGATAAACTATGTTGTTATACTAATACTTCCCTCCCTCTCCTGCCTCCCAAGAAAAACACTCAGCATTTCCTATGTAGAACTTTGTTTCCTTAAAGTGGAACAAATTCACAGAAAATCTGAACACCCTCTTTAGAGAATAGTTTCAAATTTGTTCTAAGTTTACATAAGCAAGGCTAGTTCATGATCGCTTTGTGGTAAACTGGATCCAGTGTATATTGAGGTAAAATGCACTGCATCAATTACATACACAGACAATAACGATGCTCCATTAAATGCTTTTTTCTCAAGTTGCAATAAAGTTGGGCCAGTATGTGGGAAGTAGAAGAAACAAAACGTAACAAAGCAACTGTACATGCTCATAGTAACTAGGGAGAAATCTGTTAATTGCAAAAATAGCAAGCATATTAAAACTAACATATGAATTCTGATCTTAAATAAGAGAAGAAGTAATTCCTCCGATATTTAACAGGCTTCAGTACTTTCTCTCAGCACTGATAATACTGCAATAAATTGCCACTGCCCATTATCTGTCCATCCTTACTTTTTATAATAGCACGGTACCACACTAATATACTGAACAACCACCTATTTTAAACATGTTTCTACCTGAATACTTCATTCCAGTATTCTTTCACGTAGGAAACCTGGTGAAAAGGAATATCGAGCTTCTGACAAACCCGGTAGGCATCTTCGCAATCTCTGTCAATGGAGCAAGCTCCTTGTTCATCCAGAGGGTCCCAGTTCTTCATAAAGACGCCCGTCACCTGGTAGCCTGTGAAACGAAGGTAAGACTGACTTATAAAGTGAAATTCTTACAGCCTGGACCCAAACTCTGTTTTTTTCAAGACATGCTTGAGCAACTGCTTGCTTCAGAATATGTGAGCAGTCCCGCACTAAGCAAGCATCCTGCTAAGCTTTACGGTAGTTACTGTACGACGGTTTTTCCTACAGCTAACAAAGAAACAAGCCCTGCTGGCCGCCTAACGCGACGCTACTGCCCAACCCCGCGCTTCTCCCGTCCCTCC